CACGACTAAAGTTGAAGATACGACAAAAGATGTAAATGGACTTTTTATCCTCTGGTCTACAAATCTTTCACGAAGACAGCTGCACGATGCAGCTTTTCTTAGTTTACGAAAAAAGGAAATTTATCCTATCAAATCTTATCTTGCACAAACTTGTTCTATAAGCAGCAGAGTTTTGTCTTCTTATATTTCTGTCGCCGGTTGCACGAAGCCTGTATAGCGTTATTTATTGGATGCAAATTTTTTTAAACTTTTATAAAACCTTTTAAAAAGCAAAAAGTATATGATTCAAACTGTACAATCACTGAAAGAAATTTTGTTTCAAAGATACGAAATTTCGTTGTCGTAAGAAAAATATAAACACCTTTTTCACAAGTTTGGAGATTCTTTCTATTCAATGGACAACGCTATCCAGGCTTCGTGCAACCGGCCCCCGATGTTAATGATCGTTTATTCTTTCCTTCAAAAGAGAATATTTAGAACTATAAATAAGAAGAGTGTGTTCCTCGTGAAAAGACTTTCTAAATTCTCTGGTTGTGTACAGTTAAATGGAAAATTGCAAAAACTTGTTCATGTTCCGCCATCAAATTTATGTATAATTAGCTTTTATTGTATGAGAAGCCAACGTCATGAGACAATATTCTTCATAATTTACAGTATAACTATGGGTAGTGTACTGTGTACACTATTGACGTTACTGCATGCAAAATCTATTATCAAAAATTTTTACAGGCAAGAGTCGTCGCTTAGAAGTCTTTGATAATTTATAAGTACTACGTAGATCATTCAATCTGACTTAATTGTAAAAGTCAATAGAAAAAACAATCAAATCTTTCACAGTTGTAAGTCTTTTGATGATTCAGCAAAAAAATATCATTTATAATAGCAGACAAAACAAATAGCATTTATTCGTCAATGATTACACAAAACAAAGTGAAAATGCTTTTTGTAGGTACTATATTTTATAATATATTTATATAAATATTTAATTAAAATTTTCTTGGTGAAAACCACTTTGCTAATGTACAAGCCTCCAACTTTCAACAAAAAGTATTATGTATATCTGTTCCACATGCTATCGTGCGTGTGTACTGAACATAACCGCACAGTATTGCATTAGATGATATTTGTTATATAATGTATATTGTTTAATAGTTGCCTGACATTTTCCGTAAACTGCTCAGTGCTGTTGTACGGAAATGTATACCGGTCAAATTTTTTCTTGATTTGCTATAGCGCAATAGTTTACCAGTTATAAACCGGTCACAAACCTATGGCCGTGATTACGGTCGAGGGCGTTCAACGTCATCAATGAGAAAGGTAGTTGTAATATTGAATAGCATATACCCGTTTTCTCAAACCATTAAGTGTAGCATAAAATGTTTGAGATGAAGCTTTTGAGAAACTATCAGAAAAGTTAAAAATGACATTAAGAGTTAGAAAGGTGGCTTCAAGTTAGTGAGCGGGTCATTTGAGTTAACCATCTTTCGAGTCATCGATTGCATCGATCTATTTTTTGTACTTTGTTTACATCACGTTAATTATTTATAGCACCGAGTAGGGGGGCAAAGGATTGAATTTTGTATTTGTTCTCGAGGTTATAAATGTTGCATTTGTATAATTATCACCTCCAGAAAAGCCTATTCTAAGCCTGTAGACAAAAATCCTAGATCCACCCTTGTACATAAAAGTTGTAATTTCATCAAAAAAAATTTTTAAAAAAACATTATTTACTCTAAAACAGTTTGTACTCGACTCTTTTTATTCTAGAGGCATCAAAGAGATATTCCAGTTTACCCAATCAGATACCTTAAATTTTTATAATGACTCACGAACAAAAATTTAAACATTCTTCAGTTTCCTCGCACCTTTGTATGAAATGCATGAAATGCTTGGAGCTGTATTTTATGCCATTAACAGCTGCAACAACATACATCAGTTTTGTCAAGTTTCTTAACATGCACGTCTAGCGGTAACTAAGTACATATTTGGATATTGTCGGAAAATTTGTAAATATTTAATAGATAATTATTAATTGATACAAGGAGCATATGGAAGAACGGACATAGGAACTTGTGTTAATTACTTGTGACACGTTGAAAGTCGGGGTTCTTCTGTCGCTGGTTGTGAATGTAAAAGCTTGAAATGTTTAAGATTATCTGTGATGCGGAATACTTAAATTGAAATAGTTATATTAAGTGAAATTGAGAATTGTGTGTTGAATGCGCGTACCGTAGGATAGTAAACAGTCTCAAAAACGAATCGGCAGACGCAAAACTGCTTTGTGCTAAAGCGCAAAGGAGAAAATTGCTACAGATATTGCTCTCAGTTTGAGTAGTAAATCCTTTATGACATATGTATAGGTCGTCTATGCCAATGTCCAAGCGGGACAATTATGTCGAGGTCGTTTTAAAATCCAACATATTTTTATTAATAAGCTTTGGAAATGGATCATAATCCTGTACACTTGGCAATATATATACTGACTCGATAATATTTATTACTTGAAAGTAGCCAATAAAAAATGGGATCACAAAACTATGGCTACCAAAACAAAATCCCGCATTTATCATGATCGTTGAACAGTGTAAAGCTCTGGATAGTCGCAAGTTTTATCATTGCATTCACAAGCGTCTTTCTGAAGTCTACGTGACCTTTCTCTTATAAAAAGTTGTTTGTTTGGTCTCTTTAACATAATCTTATGATTGCCGACTTGTCTAATTATCAATAGCGCAGCAAGTCCGTAAGTTCTGTCCTGCAAAAATTATAAATTTCTACCGAAACAAACAGTGATAAACCAGTGAAGTTTACATCGCAAGACCAAAACATGTGGACTTCTAATTTTGTCAGTTGTATTATCGATTGCTTCTTAAAAAATAAATGTTTCCAGCTAATGAAAACATGAAAATTTCAAAAGAATAACGCGATATAGGGCTATAAAGCCAAATTTGGCTACGAAGAAAATTTTTCAGAAACAAATGTCACAACCGCAACATTTCAAGATTTCAAGGCACTATAGTTATAAACGCCAAATATTAAGTAGCAAATAATTGTCGAGAAAAATGAAGAGATGAACACTGCATTGATAAAAGCCATGTAACAAGAACTTCAGTGTCTTGGTCTGTTCGTGTGAGTATTGCCTTACGTCTTGATTATTTGTGGAATTAGTTACTGTCGTATACAGGAAATGGGTCTATACCAGTCATGGCGAGAGCCTCCAAAAATTTTGATAGCGCGGCGTTTATTTCAGATTCATTTTTATAGTGATTTATTGTTTTATGAGAGAAGAATGAAATATAGACATGGTACGACCAAACTGTGGGCTATGTCACTTGATTGTAGGAAAGAAAACTTAAACCTCTAAAAAACAGTTATGCATATCACTTAAGTCCTCGGCATAGTATTGATAGGAAAATAGAAATAAGAAACGACGTTTGTACACGGTACACTAAAGTGAAAATGTCTTCAAACATGCTCAACTTCTTATGTTATTCTTAACTGTGGCACGTATAGTTCGACTGTGGGAAGCGGATTTTATTATAAATTTCACATTTGCTCTTTTGTGGTGTACGTAAGAAATTATATTGTTGTCGTTTATAAAATCTTTATGTGATCAGCAACGGGAAATAATGTCTCTCACACCTCCCTAACTCCTCCCCGAAAAATGAAAGGAAAAAATATGTTGATCTATGTTGAATAATATTTATTGTCTGTAAAACATAAGAAAATGCAGACAATTACAACGGCTATTTTCATAAAAATATCTCTTACCGTTTATTCAATGATCTCCGTTTTCAATAGGAAAAGTCCCTTGTCATTGACGCTGTAATGATAAATTTTCTTCAACGACAGTAGTTTTTATAATGTTGTATATGACGCCAATCAACAGCAATTGATTGCCAAAAAAATTTTCAGTGCTGCGAAAAATTGACGTTATAAGAACACGCCTCCAAAAAAAATTTTTCTTCCTTTTACAAGAACCACGTATCAGCGTGAAGCCCATGAATGACGAATGTCCGTTAAATACTTTCTTCGTAGACTTTTTAAAGTGTTAACCAAAAGAACATATGTTAAGCTTTTAAATGATCGTCTTTCATGTTAATTGCTGTATTTGATTCATATATATTATACAAATGTTCAAGCGAATTTGTGCATGATTTTCATCTTGTTTTTTGCTTTTTTATATTTTGTGTTTTTTATGACGTTTGAAATTCTGTGTTTTTTCCATAAGATTTTTTGCACAACCTAATTATATTTATATACGTATATTTAACAAGCGCTTGATAAATTTGGGATCACGTAACAGGAACACCTTGACTTGCAAAAGGCCGAAATCACGCGAATAGAGCACTATGACAGTTTCCGCAAAGGATATAGTAATATTTACCTACTGAGTAGGTACAAAGATTCTTACATGTACGCGAATACCTACGCATCGTGTGACTCACGTACCAAGTTCTTGCATAAACTACTGATGTTGGCTTTCATGAAATACAAATAGAAACACTATCATGTATTATCTTTGAAACTCAGATTAATTACCTTGCTGATATTTGGTTAACAGCGCGACAAGTAAGAACTCAAAAACTTTCAGCTTGACATAATTTTACTAATTTACATAGCCTACAGTCAAACTGTAAGACATGAGAATCATGTTCTTATATCTGAGACCTATCAATGATTGAAAAGTGACAAACCCAAACAAGCAATCAACGATTAAGTAAATTTCGTTGAGCCATGCCATGCTTCTTTTGATTTTTGATTTTTATATTAGAAGCTGCTGTTAAACATTTTCTACAATTGACGTCATCCTTTTTATTTTTCCTGGATGCCACTGTCAACACACGTACGGATTTTTTTGACAGCGTTTGTAAATTCATATGGATTCGGTGGATCCAATTCTCTTGTTAGTGTTGATGGAGGAATCTGCGTTAGTGTGAGATATAAAAACTGTAAACGCTCAAATAAAATGTTCAAATTACAAAATGCCATTGATGTCATCGACGTTTGACGCGCAGGTGAACTTAGGTTGACCCTATTTCTCAGCGATTCAATATACGAAGCTAGTTGCTGTGACGTCGGATATTTTACTGACGGAATAACATGAACGTCATCAACAATAAATGCGCACTAAAAAGCACTCATCGATTTGGTTGTTAACACTTTTATAGAAAATTAAACGGGAACTTTGTTGAATATATTAAAATATGAAATAGTGACTCGGTGCTGGTTTGGCAACACGCTATATAGACGACTTGTAACCGAAGTGTTTTCCTTGGAGGTTTCTCAAATTCTGTTGTTGTTTTTTCATCAGGATCTTCACAGCATGCATGTGATTGGTAAGCATTGCTATTTTATTGACCTGCTTCTAAACGTCCAAAAATATGACAGCATTTCATTGCAGCATAATTAAGAGGTCAAAATCTTTCCAAACAAACTAATCGTCATAATCAGGCTTTTTATTCATTTAACAGAATTTTCTAATCAGTATGAAACTCTAGGAATACTTTTACTTTGCATTTGTTATCATTGGCGTAGCCAGTGCTCTTACTTAGTCCTGCTATGGTAATTTTTCTCTGTTTACATTCACTACAAAAGCAATAGATGTCTTAAGAAATTAAAATGATATTGAGGTCACTCGTTTTGCATAGCACGGCTGAAACTTGAAGGCTAGCTACGCCACTGTTTTCCCCTTAACAAACAACGGTCAATATTCTTGCAGTAAATTCAACATTTTCAGTGGACAGAATAGGACAGATGTTTCAAAGTTTTGTAAACACCTTTACAAATCATTTCAGCAATTTCAGAACCATTTAGCAGCTTCCTTATGATCAAACAAGATACACATCACCAAGGAACAGACGCAATGACAATCTATAATAACTGTTGAGTGAATTCAACATTAATTGAAGTAGAAATTGTTTAGGAAAACATTTTTTTAAAAAATTAAATACAGTGTGAATTGATCCCTTAGCTTTAATGTCATTTGCTTTCTTCTCTTCCAAAATCAACATACTCTGGTCAGTGACATCTTTCGATTACAAAAAAATACATCTGACTTAAAGAATTTATGACATGAACTATAGCCACACACTTCTCTGAATAAATTGCGAAGGAGATCATATGACTAGATAATTCTTGTTTATTTATGTTGAACATTATTATCGAGAGTATGCTCATTGTCTCTACGACAGCAATTTGTAAAACTACACTGATGGAACATAAATTTTTAAAATGTTTAAAGCATTTTTTCACAAGTACGTCAGTTTTATGAATACATGTGTCAAGTAATATGAGTATTATAAAGTTCTACAGCTTTAAAATAAAAAAAAAAATTTTTAGTGCTTGAACACTGACGTTTTGTAAAGCTACAATTTAATTTGATATCCTAATTATAATATTTACATACTATGAAAAATATACCTCTCGAAATTTCACTTACACAAATTAACCGAACAAGTTATTAAGTCTTCGTAAAGATACTGACTCTGAAAAGCAATCCGAAAACAAAACTTCACGGAATCAAAACTTTAGCTCTCTGAAAATTTATGCTATGACAATACAAGAATGACGCATCTCAACTCAAGTGCTTGTACTCCTTAAGATAAAGAATTGTTAGTTTTTTATAGTCAAAAGCTTCATGACTATCTATAAAGACTTGTCCGAGTATGCGATTCAATGTACAAAGACTGTTTTTCCGATTTTGATATTTAAGTGAACTTTATTCGTTTATAAATTGATCGAATTCACATATTTTCGTTAAAATTCTTAGTTGGCTCTTCTTTTTTTAATTTGTTATATGCTTATCGATATGTAATAATTTTGGCTGATTTTTGACGTATTTGGTTGGAAGTAAAAAATCGTGAATTTAGACAATTTGTATTTAATTAGTCATCACTACAAATGTTAATTGCCAAGCAGTAAAAGTTCCGACACGAGTGAACCTTCTGTTACGATATCTATTCTGTGCTCTTGATAAAAACCATCCAACAGAAAGACTAAACAATTACCAATATTTATAAGAAACATGGTTGATGACAGCTAAACAACGCCAACGAAAATACTAAACAATTTTGAAGCAATTCTCGAAAAAATCTGCTTCTAATCATTGAAAGCTTTGCTGAAGTTATCGCATGGAGTCCCAACGTTATGACTTAATAAAGTGGCATCTTATATGAGCTAATTTATTCCAGAGAAAATTTAGAGGTGAATTTTGATATAGCGATGTACACAGCGATAAAATTAACTAAATATCGATGACATCAACGAAACAAACCATCCAAGAGGAAAAAATGATGTATTGACGCATTTAACTCTTGTTGATTTTTAATTTGGTATGATTTAAGAAATCTATACAGCATTTCTACCCTGTGCAGCATAACATCTAAACGACAAAGAAACCGTACAGCACCTAATATATTATGGTCCAACAGCGTATACAAAACCAACCAACCGAACTAATGAAATTGACGTGGAGATCCTATTTTCATTCAGCTAGCCTCGCTCCTAATTCCTTTCAAAAAATATTTATCTGCCTTAACATCATATTTTACTGCATGATGATAGATCTCTATCCTACAGATACATTTGCTTTGATGTCATGCATAAAAACAGATCTCATAGGCAGAATGTATTTATGTATTTTTGTGTGTGACAAAACTGACGATAATGATTATTTCTGGCAACTAGATGCTTTCTGATTTATGTCTAACGTTCTAATGAAAATGTCAATGTTTTATAAATTAATGCTATGAAAGTTTAGTTTCTTCATTATTATAGTACCTTCAAACAATATTTTTTTTTCTTGGTATATTCAAAAACACGCTGTCTTAAATAAAATATATTTTCACGTTGTCTTCAACGCTCTAACTGGTCTAGTGAATAGATGCAGGATATTCAGATAGAGGTGTCAGGTTCTAAACTTTTAAGGGTCGGTTGTTGTTAGGCTTGGTGTGTCGAGAGTTCAAATTGCATTAAACAAGTGTGTAATCATCAGGATGATGAAGTTAGCGGCTATGAGGTCGATACTGCTGTAAAAAAGTGTGCAAAAAGCATTTCTCTTGCTGAACAATCGGGAATAGAAAGCGACACTTAGTATGAAAAATTTGCCCTAAAAAACTAAGTCTTTTGCTTCATTTTTTCTATGACTCCCAGAAGGGACTCCTTCTTTAGCCAAGAACCTCAGGGCAAACAAAACGCCCTTAAGCCTCATTTCCACCTATCGCACGAATCAACTCGCAGCTCGCTGCGAGAACTCGCAATTGTTCGTGTCTGTTTCGAGTACTTGTTGTTTGATAACTGTTTTTCAGCGAGCTAAGAAAAAAATGGCGGACGCTTAAGGAGTGAAGAATGAGTCCTTTGACTAGAAAGCAAATAATTCTTTTACTCTATTAGCGAAGTCGAAGAAGACAGCGTGAAAAATACCGCAAACGTTTTTGGATCAGGCCGATATTCCAAAAGAGATCTCAACATAGCAAATTTTTCACTTTATTGAAGGAATTACGAGATGGAGACCACGAAGGTTATTTCCACTATTTTAGGATGTCACCTGATCAATTCGATTATTTACATGGCCTTGTAAGCTCCTTTATTCAAAAGAGCGATAAAAGTCGTGATGTCATTAGTTCAGAAGAACGATTAGCGTTGACACTTCGCTATTTAGCATCAGGAGTACACGAAGTTTGTCTTTCAGTTGTAGAATAGGAGTGACAACTGCACATAGAATTATTTCGAATACCTGTTTGGCAATTTGGAATGCTCTTTTGTCAAAAGGATTTTTAAAAGCTCCCAGTCCACCGTATGAGTGGTTAAAAATAGCTGATGAATTAAAAAGAATCTGGAACTTCCCTAATTGTTGTGGGGCCATTGATGGCAAGCACATAAAAATACAAGCACCAGCAGGATCAGGGAGTTTGTGCTATAATTATAAACACTGGCATAGCATTGTTCTCATGGCTATTGATGCAGCAGACTATTCATTCATATTACTTGACATTGGCGATAATGGTCGTCATAGTGATGGAGGTGTGTTTCAGAATTCTAAATTAGGTATTGGGTTGCTGTCAAATTCTCTTCAACTTCCTGAACCATGCTGCATAAGTAATAGAATGAGTACTTTTCCCTTTGTCTTTGTTGGTGATGAAGCATTTCCATTGATGAAAAATCTGATGCGTCCCTTCCCTGGCAAATTTCTTTCACAACATGACCAAATTTTCAACTATCGCCTTTCCAGGGCCAGAAGATTTGTTGAAAATGCATTTGGCATTGCTTCCTCAAGATTTCGAATATTGAGAAGGGAAATTTTTGCCAAACCTATGAAAGTTGAGAGGATTACCATGGCTGTAGTTGCACTTCATAATTTCCTGATAAAGTCGGAGGCAAAACAACCAGCATGTTCTAGACAGTATTTACCCCATTGTTTTGTGGACAGTGAGGACAGGTATGATTAGATTCCTTAATTTTTTTCAAGAATACCATATTTCAAAAATTTTAAAGAATCAATTTTGATGAACTCAAACTGATGTGAAATATTCTTGACTTCTTAGACAAATTTGAGACGAGATTTCATTTGCAAGAGAATTATTATTTTTATCCCCTTATTTTAGAAATGGAAAAATTTTATTGGGCTCATGGAGAGCCTCTGTGAAGAATGCACAAGGCTTAAAGTCATAATGAAACTTTGAAGACAAAATAGAAAAATAATTAAAAATTATACTGTTCTTTAGCAATTCTATAGCATTTTTTAGTGTTTTTGGACTGACCTGGGGTAGTTCAACTTCGTTTGCCACACATTGCCATGCATTTTCTTTTTGTGTTTTGTCTCTGTATCCACGGCTTTTTACCAAGTACAAAGCGTGAAATTTTCTTACTGTTTCGATTAAAAGTTGGATCTGTTTATCGCTCCATCTGTCGTTTCGTTCTTGTCTGTCCGACATTTTGTTGTTTGTTTTTTGAAAAAAATGGGAAAATAACATAATGCTAAAAGACAATGCCACGTGATCAGTAGCCTTTCTTTCAATGGTGAAATTTTATTTGAAATAGCTGCGAGAAAAAAATAGTTGAAAAATGTGAACTATCTGCAAGGTCATAAAAACAAATTGTTGCGAGTTTGCGAGTTCTCGCAGCGAGCTGCGAGTAGATTCGTGCGAGAGGTGGAAATGAGGCTTTAAACTCTCTCCTAACCTTTAACCTTGCTCTCAAACCTAAAACTATAACCCATAACAACACTGACAACGAGACGAACCAAAGATATCGTGCATTGGATATCAGACAAAGCAGGTTAAGCCAGGAGCTATAAAGGAAATGATTTGCTGTTCAATCTACATGTCGAACAATGGCATTCTGTGCAATTTATTCATTTTATCATTGCCTCACACCATATTACATTGCTGTATCTCACTCTTTTACTCCGCAATTTTTCTCAGTTTATCCAAACAAACATTTTGCGACATTTATTAACGTCATCATTTCATATGAAATAAAATTTTTAAAACTAGTTATTTCACAACCGAATGTAATCAATGAAGTCAATGTAATCGAATGTAGCTAGTAGTCGAATGTAATCATATGTAATCAAAAATTCGCTCATTCTTTTGGAATTGCTCTTATTTCATAGGAGACGACATTTGAAAAAGTTGTCATTTGATAGAAGTTCACATTTCGAAAACAATCGCCATTTCGAACATTATCTCAAAAGTTTGTCATTCAAACTGTGAATAAAATGGTGAAAAGTGAGTGTGAAATTTCCAAATACAAATTCTTTTAGCTGTTAAAGCGTTTAGTAAATGTTGGTTTAGTGTGTTATAAATGTTAGTTTTTTAAGTAGCCACGTGATTTACCACATGACAAATGCAATATACCTCCTGGAATAATTGATCACAACGTTGAACAAGGTAGGTCTAAATTTATCTAACTAAAATATTCTTAATTAACATACACACTACACACTCATTGCGAAAGCTTTTACAAAAGCACATAGTTTTTTTCCTAGTTTCTCTGGGCATGAGAATTACAAAATGTCGAAAAGTGTAAAGGTAACATTGAAAAGTCGTGACACTACTTAAGACATTAGAAAAGTTAGCAGTTCATTGGAGAATATGGAGTCGAATGTAGTCAAATGCAGGCAATGATATAGTCGAATGCAGTTTTCGCTATGTATGGCGACGAAAATATTTTAGTTATTTGAATTGTAGCTAAATTAAAAACTCCGAACAATTGCGAACAATTAAAAATAGATACGTGCGTAATTACCATGATTGACAAGATGCATGGCAATGAATGACATTAAGCATACTTTGTTTGTCGTTAGAAAGAAACACTGCATAAAATGTAAATGATTTCACGAGAAAATTGGAGCAAACTCTTGTCTTTATTGCAGTGACACCTTCGGAGGACAAATATTTGCATTTTATGGACCAAAGCTTTCAATTAGCTATCTATTGGTCATTGTAGCGTTATCTTCGTTATAGTTTTTTAATAGCCTTACCTTTTAGGTCCATAAAATAGTTTTATTGGTTTGTAGATCTTAATCAAAATTACTAGTGGAAAATATAAACGCAGGTCTTTGATTATGCTAGCAGTATTATTACATGTTGATACAAGTTGATTTGTTGAAATATGATTAAATTATCATTATATTATTACTAACAACACTACCGTGCGTAATGTACGTTGGAAAAAGATGGAAAGCTGTAAAACAATGAAGAGTGTGCAATTCAGAGACCTAAATACGAAAGAGTTGGGGCACCAGAAGTAAATTTGTCTAGTGTCATCCAATTTTGCTCCAAAAGCCAGCCAATGTACAGCATTAAATGGGGAAAGGCAAGTTTTCTGTTATATTTTCTTATTCATCATTGGAACAAAAATTTCGGCTAGATACCCATCTGACCATATTTACCCAATCACCATTGTCATATTTCGAAATTCGTCGATCAATACGTGTCTCAACTCTTATAAATATAGGGCTCTGGTGCAGTTGGCGAGAAAAAAGCTTATGTGTGATTGTACTAAGCATCGACTGAAATGAAGAGAGACTGCGAGAGGCTTCTCTGAAGAGATGGAAGCATGCAAGATTGGCCGAAAAACGAGAAACCCTTCAGCTGTGCAGCAGTTGTGAAATGGTATGAGATGGACAAAAATGAAAGAGCAAGGTCACAGGAAGTATACATAAATTTGCAATATAGCAAATAAATGAGAGATAAGTTTAGGAAATCTTTACTAGAACCTATGCCTTTTCGCGTTGAATTAAATTTTACGTCTTCTGTTTTAAATATCAATTTATTCATCCATTTTCATGAAAATTTCAATGTTTGTACATAATTCGAGAGTAGCTTAAATCATAAGATAACTCCTAAGTCTAAAGTGAATTTCACCAACATAGCTAACCTCGCTGCTTGTTGAATTTTCACGCACTGACCCTATGCAGAATCACTATGCAGAATCACGGATGACTCCTCTGCTTCCGCAGTTTTGCCAGACGGATGTCGTCTTCGCTTGGCTGAAAAGTAGAAAAATTATCAAAGCCAACCTCGGTTGAGTCCCAGTCTTTATCGGGAGTTGTCTGACGCGTCAAAAGCCATGTTGTTAGTATAATCGGATTTTCCATCGTGTCTTCCGCGAATTCAATTTGTCCGGACCAGGCACACGTAGAATGAGCGTTGTGACAGGAATTTTTGTACGATACAACCCATCCTAGTGTTCTCCCATCCGTATCATAACGACCAGAAAGATCATACTCGTTCTCTGCATTACCAACGGCTGAATAATATTTTCCAATGAAGCTTCCCTTATCTTCATCAACACTCAAGAGGGTCAGTTTTGATCCCAATTGATTATACCATACAGTGGAAGGCGTGAACCACTTTTTCATAAAACCTTTGTGATGGTAAAATGAAAACGAAAGTTAAAATGGCGTTTGACTTTTGTTTTTGCTAGTGACAAAATAAGAATCAAATATAATAACGAGGCGGTTGTTTCAGAATGCCTTTTTCGCCACATGAAAGACAAACCGAAAAATTCCCACAATTTGCCTTTCTCAATACCCAGTTATCACTAGTTGTTTAGTATACACTTTTACTTGACTTCACAACTGCTGTTCAATGATCTGCAGCATCTGCAGAGTTTCCACAAGCTTAGCAATAAAATCTTAATGTGAGGAGTATCAAGCTTTGCAAGGTCGGTGTGCTTCCGATGTCAACAAAGAAATCATTAATTCGATTAGAGAAATCACGTGTTTAATAATTAAAAACAATATCAGAAGAATTTGGAAATACCAGCAGTAAACTAAATAAATATACATAACATTCTGGTTCTGGAGACACTTATAACGGCACGAGAGCAACATTACGAAGTGAGAACAAGAGAAACGTTGCGAACATTTGCATATAGTTCAAGGTGAATCATAAATTATCATAAGTCGATATATGTATAATATAAACAAGTATAAGTGTTTTTTGAGAAAATGTGTTCGCATTTGCATTTGTGTCTCGAACAAAAGTATTTGTGTTTCACCAACTGAAAGTATTACTGAAGAAAACTTAAAGTTTTCATTAACTTTTACACTTTTTGTCTGATTTGATTATCAGGCAGCGTTCGATCTATACGCTCATTCAATGGTCCTACATGTCACTTTATAGATGATGTATCGCATATCCCATACGCTTAAAGTTTTAAGCATGACTTTACAACAAAATTATTGCATTTAACTATTTCACCACGTCCATATTGGACACTGCAAAAATAAACTTCAAAGAGCGATGTGTGTTCTGTACAAATCGAGTAGCTACTATTAATTTATATAAATAATACTAATTAAGTCTCGTCGGGTCAAGGCTTTTTGGAACACAATGTCAAAGTACTTTAGTATTGTCGTCTACTGCTAACTGACTCGCTGAAGCGCGCCGTTCAAACAAGATATTAGAATAATTAAGCTTTGTAAAAACGAGAAATCCACGTCATACGGTGGTTGCAGATTGCTGCTTTGAAGACGATGAAGCAAGCCATATTGATTAAATGAATTTAACTACGGAAGGCAAACAAATACTTGCAGTATTCAGGATGCAAGACAAACATTTAAACAGTATTTTGTCATAGATAATCGTACTGTTTAACATACTTTTCAAATTCCCTTACACTAAGAAAATAACTTCGAAATATCACGGACGAGACCACAAGCAGCCAAGTTACCCACATAAAAAATAGTAGGACAATTATATATTTATAGAGAGGCAGAGAAGCGTATTATGCTTCTTCTAAACCAAATTTACAGAATCGAAAGACGCTATTATTCAACGTACCAGCCATATTGATTCCAGCTTTCACAGACTTTGCCATACTGAATTTAACAAGACTTTGAAGAAGCTTCGAAGTCAACAACAAACACTTGCAGCAAATTAGAACCGTGGACTGTCTTATGTCTAATCATGAAGGCAATGACGTCAAGAAGGTTTCATATTGCATTATGCAAACTGCGTCCGGTTTCACAAAATCAACACTTATTGTCTTGAAATTTGAAAACACAGAACCAAATCCTTTGCTGCTTATTGCGCACATGGTTGCGAAATTGCCGGCTTTAAATGGCAGAAATCAAGCGAAAATTTTTGCATACTTAAAAACTTGCAAGCTATAAATTATCTTGGGAAATGGAAACGATTTAATACTCATCATCAAATAAATCTTCTATGGCAATTTCACAATATTCTGGATTGATGACTGCACAAAACATTTCAAATTACAACAACCAATTTGGCCTAATTTGGGAATTACAACAGGAATGACTTGTGGCGCGTAATAAAAGTTGTAATTTTTATTACGCTTGGAATTTTGACTACTTTCAATACCACAAAATCATATCACGCCTCACTCAATCTCGGTTAGCCGGGATCATGTAAAAACCCCTGAATTTTATTGAACGTAAATTGCTTAATTCCTTCAGTAAATTGCTTTCAAAAGAAATCAGTCGAGCACAACTAAATATATGAATGAAACACCCTCCAATTACTAAATATCATACATAAGTTTGCAAATTTTTTTGTCCAAGTTAATACAGTCCTGAGAAGAGCTGTTTACTTCGTGTTTTTGTGCTGTATGCAGCTATACTTCCGGGCTCGAATCATTTACTTTATATCTCACTTTTGCCCCTAATCTCGTAATTTATTTCGGATAGCTCAACATATGCAATTCCTGCTTTTAAAATTTACATGAAACTATTTTACATGTCAAATAAAATGGACCATGAACAAGTTAGAAACAACATAAACACAACAGTTTCACAACCAATGAAAATAATCTCAACCTGAAAACAATAACTTGAAATCTAAAAATCATGACCAATAAGGCATTGTCATCATCTGTAGCACACATAAAAACCAACCTGTTTCAGGTAATTTACTCAAGTTCAATTTTAAAAACTAGAATTTTGTAAAAAGGAACCATTGACAATTGTTCCAATTAAACCAAACAATTCTGACATAAAATTCTGATACAGAATGTACTTCATCAATTATTTCGAGAAAATTGACAAAAACATATTTCCTTTTTTTTCTCTCCAATGTAAAAGAAATAGACAAAGTAACATATAAATATCATAATCTCTATATTAAGCACCAAAACGGGTCTATTATTTTCATATCATTCAAGAGAGAGTTTATCAAAGAGGGGCACTTCTTTCATGGAGATGTGTGGGCTTTTTTATGCTGTGTTAAGTTTTCAAATACTTTTATCAAATGTAAGGTAATTTACTCAACGTAAGCAATAAGATGCTCATTTAGCCAAAAAATGAAAATATAATACAGTAAAAATAAATAATTTAGAATTTAATTTAGTAAAGGAGAGCTTGATAAAGAGAGGGCTTGATATGGGTTGGAGGGAGACTAAATATAAAAAGGCTTGATTGAGAGGTCAAGGCTAAACACTCTAGAAAGAGAAGCTTTAAAATTCCTGCTCATGAAATTGTTGGCTTTTTAGAGTTTAAAGCCATTTGACATGTGAGGTAAATAGAGAAAATATGGTATTTCATTGTACTTATAACTCTATTCACCTTATATTCATGTGCCCACTGCACTGTCAGTACATACAATATCTTTCAGTTCTTTGTAAAATTTTACCCATTTGATGCACTTATCTTTATATTGAAATGAATGATTCTTAAGGATGGTTGAAACATTTGCCTGGTGTGTCGAAGTACATGTAGCACATCTTCGGCTAACAACAGTGGTAAAATCATCATAGCCACCATGCTGTCTATGCCTCTCACATGACTTAAGGTTTGTATCACTTATTCTCTTTCTTTCTTGCAATATGCATTCAACCCATTCCTTCACAAACATCTTGGTTTGGTCAACCACATTTTACAAATATGTGCATTTGGTTATCAATGTCTTGGCAAAAACATCCCCATCCAAATCTTGTGAGAAGTTTTCTAGGTTATGCACTAAGACATGCTTGGTAATCAGGTCAGCAATTTCATCATATAGTAAATTATTTCTCACAGCAAACGACAACGGACGCATTGACACCATAGGCTCGATTTTTTTAACCTCTTTCAGACATGGTTTCATCACGTTTAGTGCATTGTATTTATCTGCTAATGTGATAACTTGAACAATACTTATTGAGTTAAGCACAACATTGCTTTCTTCCAACATGTTCGGTGGATACAAAAGCTTTAAAAACTCAATCATACCGCTGTATTTATCGTCTTTCAGTTCAATCTTTTCCTCGCGTGCCTCTTGAAAGTTGCTCTTAAACATGGCTTTTATACACATGACTGCATACATAACATTGAGCGATGAACGTGAAGAACTTTACCTTCGATAAGCAAAATAGCATCGCTTTCCTGCCATTGATTGGAAAAGACACAAGTTCTTTCATCAGATGCCATTGGAAACAGTAATGCCAAAATACCCGTTAAAAAACCCGCCAATTATGACGATACGACTCAGCTTGATATCAAGTGTATCACTATTCAGTGGATTGCTGACAAACTGCACGGATATAATTATTTAGCACTGGAGCTTAATTTATGCATGTTTTAACTGACGCGTAATTTGACGCGCAATATTCATTGGGATAAAAGGGATTTGAGTCTATAGTGCAGCTGACAGTTACCACATGCTAACCTGGGCGAAAGCTTCATCATTGTATTACTTTATTATATCGGCTAACCTGTATTGAAATTAATGTAGATCGTGAGGACCCGGCAAAGAAGTGAGTTCATGTATTTTCGTTTGGTATACTGTTAAACTGCACATTTGTTAATTATACTATATCATTATTTACTAGATCGAATAAAAAATTATTTACTTATAATCTATACGATTCCGACTCACGCATCTATCGGACTGCTAACCTGAGAATCCACAACATTCGATTTCTGAAGAAAAATTAATCGCGTGGAGAACCTGAACCATGAGTAACGAAGACGAGGCACTGAAGACTGCTAAGCTCAAACGCCGAGCAGCCAAGTCTACATTGACAAGACTGGGAAAGGCCTTGAATCATCTGTGTATAAATAAAAGACCAGCAAACGAGGTAAGCGACTATCTCGTCAAAGTAAAACAAGCGTTCGACAACGTGGTAGAGAAACATGAGCTTTATGCAAATTTGATTATGAACGATGAAGCTTTTGAAGCAGAAGAGCATTGGTTAGATGAGTGCCAAAACGAATTTTAAAACTTGATATTGAGGCAAAATATTATATCGAACAATTGGTTTCAGTGAAAACTTCAGAAACTAGCATTAGTCAAAACGAGCAAAATTCGTCTGGAATGATCGGAATGCAAAATGTTGACAGCGCAAGTAATATGAGCCCCACAGTTATTGAGGAAAACCCGACCAGCGTAGGTGATGAAATGAGCAATGTGGCGGAAAGTTCCCACGCGGTAATTTCCGAGGAATCTGTCAACGCTCCCACCGAAATAAGCCCAACAAATGAGGAAAATTTTCCGAATCAAATTACGTTCCAATCTGAAGTAAAAAATGAATCTGAAAATACACGAAGTCCCTGCGGGTTTCAAATGGAAAACCAAAGCTACCGAAATTTTCGGGCGACGTACGTGAATATGCAATATTTCGTACGGATTTCAAGCATGCAATTGAATCGAGATATACAAAACGAGATTCAATAACACTACTGCGAACTTGTTTGAAAGAGAAACCACTTGAATTAATAAAAGGTATTGGTTCTGATTATGATGCAGCGTGGGAATACTTAGATTCCATTTACGGGGACCCTCGGTACGTATCAGACACCATAACGCAGGACATCGTTAAATTTAAAGCCCTAGAAACAGGAGAAGACGCGCGTTTCTGTGATTTAGTTCATTTGGTTAGGCGGTGTTTCAACACGTTGAAAGAGGTAGGGGTTCCGAGTGACATGGATAACAGCCACATGCTATCCATAATTGAACAAAAGATGTGTCCAGATGATCGAAAAGTGTGGTCGAGAGACTTAGAGAGAGAAAAGCCCGCAACCCTTAAAGCGTTGATGAATTGGATGACAATTGAGATGAAGTCGCGCATGCGTGCAACAGCCCCAGTCAGGAGTGGTACGTCTCTCACTCGACGCAAAGTCAATCATGTCAATGGTACAGTCACGGAAGAAAGTAAAAACCGATTCAAGTGTTGGCTCTGCAAGAACTCAAATCATTGGCCGGACCAGTGTCAAAATTGGCAGCGATGTCTGTTGATGAGCGAATAAAAGTTGCGAAAGATAATCACGTGTGTTTCAGCTGTTTGAAGAAAGCGGGTCGGGGTCATCGTCAAGCAAATTGCAACAGGCGAAAGCAATGCACCAAGTATGAAAATGGAGTCCAGTGCACATCCAGTCACCATCCGCTGCTGCACAAGTCAGGTGCAACCGTTGCATCAGTAACTGGTCTAAACGACTCAATCCTACCAGTGATTTCTGCTAACATTTGCGGATCAAATGGTCTCTACAAGTGCGGCAACGTTCTTCTGGATTCTGGAGCTCAGATAAGTCTAATCCGCAGCGAAACGGCGGAGAGTCTCGGTCTGAAAGGGAAAGACATCTCCGTTAACATCATAAAAATAGGTGGAGAGGAAGAGTCAATCTGCACAAAGAGCTACAAAGTTCAAGTAAGCAGAATCGGAGAATCAAAGAAGTATACAGTCACTGCAGTTGGAATACCATATATCAGCGAGGATGTCAAAGGAATCAATACCAGGAATGCAATCGAAAAACTCGGACTACCAAAGGACAAGGTGAAGCGTGGAAAGGGCCAAGTCGACTTACTTGTTGGAATCGATCATGCATACATGCACACGGGTAAAACAAAGCAAGTCGAACATGTGGTCGCGAGAGAATCGCCACTCGGCTGGGTTCTGTTCGGATCATCAACGGGACAGTCAAACAATGCAACAACAACTGTATTACACGTGAGGTACCCAGAAGCAGTTGATTTATCAGAATTTTGGACAACCGAAGCCATGGGAGTAACAGTAAAGCCGTGCACCTGTGAAGCTGAAAAATTGAGCCAATCCGAAAGAGAAGAAAAGCAAGTGATTGAACAGTCTGCAAAAAAGGTTGGAAAGCAGTGGATGATTCCATATCCATGGAAGAAAACCCCAAGACTTACCAGACAACAGAATCCAGGCATTAAAACGACTAGAGTCAACTGAGCGTCGATTATTGAAAATTCCTACGCAAGCAGCAGCGTACAACAACAAGATGACAGAAATGGAAAACATGGGGTTTTCTCGAAAGTTATCTGAGAAGGAAGTTAAGGAACACAAACAACCAGTCCATTACATCTCCCACCATGCAGTTCTAAGACCTGACAGTACAAGCACCCCGGTTCGCATCGTGTTCAACTCGTCCGCTACGTTCCGAGGACATAAGCTGAACGATTATTGGCAAAAGGGGCCTGATCTTCTGAACTCTCTATTCGGAGTTATTCTCCGTTTTAGGGAAAATAAAGTTGCCCTCACTGCTGACATCTCAAAGATGTACCACCGAGTCCTTATCCCTGTCGAAGACCAGCAGGTACACCGATTCCTATGGAGGAATTTAGAGATTGATAGACCTCCAGACACTTTCGTTATGAACGTACTTACGTTCGGTGACAAACCTGCACCAGCGATGGCTCAAGTTGCCTTGCGGAAAACTGCAGATGAAGGAGCATCAGAGAACCCGAGAGCAGCAAAAGTTATAAAGGACAATTCTTACATGGACGATATTCTGGATTCAGTTGCTACAAATGAAGAAGCAATCGGGTTGACTAAAGCAATCGACAGCATCCTTGATAATGGCGGGTTTCATGTGAAGGGATGGCAATCAAACGGAGAGTTGAACAGGAAAGACGAGCAAGAAGATGGTAATGAAGTTGATGTTCCTCATGGAAAACAAGAGTCAAAAGTGCTCGGCCTGGCCTGGAACAAGAAAGAGGATGTGCTTAAGTATAAAGTAAAAGTAGAAATATGCCACACCCAACAGCCAAAGTTCACAAAGAGGAAGATCCTAAGCCAAGTCGCTAGAATATATGACCCAATAGGCTTTGCAGCACCTTACCTTATAAGGGCAAAGATTGGTTTGCAGGAACTGTGGCAGCAAGGACTCGACTGGGACCATGAACTATCGCAAAGTGATCAAACAAAATGGTTGACGTACTTTAAAGAGATGGATCAGTTAAACGAAATATCGTTGGAAAGATGTCTATGTCCCGTTGTAATGATTGAGCCACCGATCTTATGTGCCTTTGCCGACGCATCGCGAGAAGCATTTGGAACATGTGCATATTTGAGAAGTATAGGACCTAATGGAGTGGTGAACGTACGGTTTGTTGCAGCAAAGTCACGAGTCGCCCCATTGAAAGAGCTAACAATACCCAGATTAGAACTACAAGCAGCCGTGTTAGCCAGCCGTTTATGCAAGACCATCCAAAATGAACTCCGTATACCACTAAAAGAGAGTGTCTTGTTTACCGACAGCGCAATTGTTCTTGCGTGGATCCGCAGCCAGGAAGACGACTCAAACCATTTGTTTCAAGTCGAGTAGGGGAAATACAAAGCAACGTCCAACCTGCTCAATGGAGACACATCCCAACGGATCAGAACGTGGCAGATGATGTATCCCGTGGTCTCCGTGTTGTTGAGCTGTCGGATAGATGGAAAACGGTCCTGAATTCCTGTACTTGCCAAAGGAAGAATGGCCGGTCGAAAACGCAAAACCCGATGCAAAAGAAGTTGAAAGGGAATGTAGAAGTTCAAAATTGGTAGGTGCAGTGACAACGTCAGTAAACGTAATTGACAGTGAAAGGTTTTCAAGTTGGAGAAAGCTCGTACGAGTTACTGCTTGGGTTTTGAGAGCTAAGTCAACATTATTAGCAAAGGTACGGTCGACAGCGAAGGACACAGCAAGAGGAGATTGCTTAACACCGGCAGAACTCGAAAGAAGTAGGACATTCTGGATTAAAAGAGCTCAAACAAAGATTCGTGCACAATTGAAATCTAACGAATTAAGATCTCTGAGCCCTTTTACCGATGAAGAAGGCACTGTTAGAGTTGGCGGAAGAATTGATAACTCATTAGTTTCTTACGAAACCAAGCATCCTGCTCTCCTGCCCTATAATCACCGAATCTCCAAATTGATAGTGGAAGAGTTTCACAAAAGAGGTCACCACGGGGTGGCAACTACGGTAGCAAAAATCAGAAGAATGTATTGGATCATTCGAGCACACGATTTAGCAAAGAGCATCAAGGCAAAGTGTGTCACATGTCGAGCAGCAAACCCAAAAACCGAATCACAGATAATGGCCAACTTACCACCACAGCGACTTCAACCCCATTCCCCACCGTTCCACTACACAGCATGCGACTACTTTGGACCACTGACTGTCAAAGTGGGAAGAAACAAGAGAACGAAACATTACGGAGTAATCTTTACGTGCCTAAATACTCGAGCAGTCCACCTAGAAATCGCCACCGACTGTTCAGCGATGGAATTTATCCAGACTCTGCGAAGATTCTTCTCAATTCGGGGATACCCAGCAGAAATCTTGAGTGATAACGGTACGCAGTTTGTTGGTGCATTGACCGATCTGCGCAAAATGATCCAAGGAGCTGACAAAAGGCTACTTCAAGACTACTGCGCGGAAAAGGAGTACAATGGAAGTTTAGCACCCCAGCGGCACCACATCAAAACGGATGTGCAGAGGCGATGGTGAAAAGCTGCAAACGAGCCCTGAAGAGAGCGATTGGAGAACACATACTTACTCCGTTTGAGCTGTATACTTGTTTACTGGAAGTAGCGAACTTAGTAAATCAACGCCCAATTGGACGACCTCCGAATGATCCCGATGACGGCTCATATTTGTGCCCCAATGATATGCTCCTGGGTAGAGCATCTGTTCAAGTACCACAAGGTCCATTTCAAGAAACCAAAAACCCCAGAAGAAGGGTGGAGTTTGTGCAAAAGATCGTGGACTCGTTTTGGAAACGATGGACAAGAGACACATTTCCATTACTTGTCCCCAGGAAAAAATGGAATCAGGAAAAGAGAAATGTGCGAGTTGATGATGTGGTAATAGTGGCTGACGGAAATGCTGTACGAGGAAAGTGGACAGTAGGACGGATAGTAGAAGTGTACCCGAGAGAGGATGGAAAGGTACGAAACGTAAAGGTCAAAACAAGTTCAGGAGAGTACTCGAGACCAATCACCAAGATTGCTGTGATTCAAGTAGCAGAAGAAATAAACTGATAAGTCATGTTTCCTTATCGGGGGGGGGGATGGATTGCTGACAAACTGCACGGATATAATTGTTTAGCACTGGAGTTTAATTTATGCATGTTTTAACTGACGCGTAATTTGACGCGCAATATTCATTGGGATAAAAAGGATTTGAGTCTATAGTGCAGCTGACAGTTACCACATGCTAACCTGGGCGAAAGCTTCATCATTGTATTACTTTATTATATCGGCTAACCTGTATTGAAATTAATGTAGATCGTGAGGACCCGGCAAAGAAGTGAGTTCATGTATTTTCGTTTGGTATACTGTTAAACTGCACATTTGTTAATTATACTATATCATTATTTACTAGATCGAATAAAAAATTATTTACTTATAATCTATACGATTCCGACTCACGCATCTATCGGACTGCTAACCTGAGAATCCATTCAGATTACTCGGATAAAAAAATTAGCATCATGAAGCAACACTATTACAATGCAACAAAGTTCTCGTTCTCAGCCTACGCGCAAACCAGTCGGATGTTTGATTTTGTGAAAGGGCATTAAAAAAACAGGCACTAATGTGACCAGATATTATGAATCCTTTTTGTTAAGATTTAAAAAAAGTCACAGAAATCATCCTGCCTACATTTTACATACCAAAGAATATAAAAGACACTGCAAAAAACACAAATTATAAATGGCACCCACTTGCACTTAGTTAATTAAACAGACCCAAAATTTTGAATAATACAAATTAAAATAACTAAAACAACCTAAATAATAAAATTGGCAAGTATCAATGATCTTTCACAAAAGTGTGATAATGAAATAAGGCCCTGTTAGGCGAATTTAAACAGAAGTCCCATGCTATTCTTCACAAGCAACCGTTCTCTTGACACGACCACGTCGGCAGGTACCAACAATAACCCTGATAAACAATTATTTTGTATTAGACCAACAATGGCTGAATTGCTATTTAAGAATACAAATTCTGCTCTCATAGGAACACAACTGTTGCTTGCAGTGTTGCAAGAGTTCAAATTCAGTGCTTACAAAATAATACAAAAAAAGTTACTTCCAGTGGGAAAGAAAATCAGCGACCAACAAAAAATAACATACTGTATCCCTGTCACACGCTATACCAACTAAGCTATCAAAGAAACTCTGCATGTGCATAAAATTTTACAACAGTTGTTGCCATAATGTAAAAAACTTTCATCCTTCTCGTCGTAGTGTAACCAACGACCAAGGGATACAAGGATCACTTTCAACATCCACTGACGCACACATAACCATCTGAGCTGTAAATGGAGCAATACTTCGACTTGGAAAGTTACTAGAGTTAACATAAAATATTAAAAAGGTAAACAACTTCTTCGAGTCGGAGTTGCACCAACGACCACGGGATGACCATTTACAAAATATCAAAGAAGTAGTGCAACTGCTTGGAAAAATTACTAGAATTAACATGAAATTTTAAGAAATATGTAACAAACGTTATCCTTTAAGTCAGAGTTGAACCAACGACCAAGAATCACTTTCAACATCTACACGAACACGCTCTACCATGTGACCTATCAAAGGAACACGCCTTCATTATGAATTGTTTCATTAGGTTACAGTAAATTTTTTCCAAAATAAAAAACAAGTTCATCATCCTTCGAGTCGGAGTTGAATCAACGACCATGGGATGACCATTTATGATATCTACAATCCCTTTCTCTACCAATTGAGCTATCAAAGGAGCAATACTTCTGCTTAAAAAGTTACTAGAATCAACATGAAATACTTACAAATAAGTAAAAACCTAATCCTTGGAATCAGAGTTAAACAAATAACCAAGAGATCACTTTCAACATTTACAGTCCCCCGCACTAACATATGAGATATCTAGGGGCGGATCTAGAGTATGTCAAATCCGTCGCGCGACTGACGTTTGAAATTCAAAAATTACCTATTCATATTAATTAAAAATTCATTAATTATTTTTTCTTTATTATCGCATTTACTTCGTGATAAAAATCCAGCTTTATTTATTATTGAAAAGTAATGACTAATCCAATGAATATCTCGTTAGTAACCAGATCAGTTGAATTTTAATTGACCTGGAATAACCGACTGATAAGCGGGGTGGCTTGACTGGTTCGACGGATAAAGGAGTCTATGAACGCCAAAAACGCTTATTTTATTTAGATCAGTGGACAGTCTGGAATGGTCTCGACTGATAATAGGGGTGGCCGGACCTATAAGGGAGTCCACTTGCTATCGTGTAATTGGTTCGTTTAAATTTTTGTCTTACTGTGACTGGTTTGACCTATTTCGACTGATAGCCAACTGAACTAACATAGTCAAGCTCACTGTCTGAATTGAATGTTTGATCGTTTCATAATAATTTTCTAAAGCATGATAGAAACTAAACTACAATCAGATGGAATTTATGGAAATCTTTTACAAATTCATATGTTGACATGAATGCTGCTTTACCAAACTGGGAATTTTTTCAAGAGGGCGAAAAATTTATGGATGAATTGTAAATGCTTGGCAAAGACGATCTCGCGAGCGACATTTCAGTCATTGATATTCAAAAGCAAGCCAACATTGTTTTGAGTTTTATCAGCAGAAATTTACATCCAAAATCGTAAGTAAAGGACAAGTGAAGTGTATGCATGAATGTAATATATCAAAGTCAATTTATGCGAGTGTGTGATGCGATTTATGTTAATATGGCGTATGGTAAGCAGATGGATGCTTCTAAAATTGTTGTTGCCGAAGGACTTTTAGCTATGATTTCTTTAGTGCTTAGGGCATCTTGACCGTATATGGCAGCGAAATCCTACATTCCTGCAAATATATTTCAATGGCCAAAAAATCTGTAGCCATATGGCGCCATAAGGTTATTACTTTATCATAAACAAATGTTTGGGACTTTTCAGTTTATGATCATTGATCATTCAATCATTAGACAGTTATACTACATATTGTTTAAGATTTGAGAAAACTAACATTGATTACATGAGAAGCTGTTTACTATAACCTGTGATTTTGATCCATGAAGCTTTTTATTTTGACAATTTGACTGGAATGGTATTAAACCTGAGTATTTCACATACACGAAATGTTGTCCCATGTCATATATTGTCCCCTTTTCGAACTGAACACCACATGTAGAGATGTAAAGGTGTGTTAATCTAGGGCTCATACCAGATTGTCTGCCATAAATTCCAAAGGGCTATTGATGTATGAAAAGCATTTTCTATAAAGTAAAAATGTCTTCCTATGTATGCAGATAAACCTTGAAATTTGGCAAAACAGCAAAGTATTTTTCATGATCACTAGGTAATTTTTCTGATGATCATTATAATTTCTAAACTATATTATTTCAGCTTTACATTTAAACAAGCTTTGATCTTATGAAAAGATATTTATCATAACCAGTAAGCGTGACACATGAACCAATTTTAACATTCATGTAATTACAAAATTAAAGACATGTTGGTTACATTCTGTTTGTATTTGCAAATACAATGCTACTAGTGATTGCTATATAGCACACCTTGCATATACTTCCAGAGGATAATAGTCTAGTGAAATGCCTAATAAACATTTATGGCTTAAGCTTTCCTTAACTGAATATTTTCACTCAGATACTTTTTGCTTATTCTTTAGCAGAAAAAAATTTTGAGTTTTTTCTCAAAAAGTGAATTTGCTGGCACTGATGTGGAGATGGGTGAAGGGTTGCAATAAACTTACATGGTTTGAAATCTGAGCTTTTCTATATCTATGAACTGTCACTTGTAGTACCAAATTTCTAACTTAACTCATTAGAGGGTTTAAATGGGGGTCTCTAGGGGGGTCTATGCCTGACAACTTGGTAGAAATTTTTAAAGACTATATCTGTTTTTGAATAGCATTATTGTAAAATAAATTTTACGTTCCTAGACATGCTAATGAGCTTAAATATTTGGCACACATTCAAGTATTGTTCACTTTTTTTGAAAACACGTAAGCAAAATGTGTTGTTTTTACGCAAAAACGATGACCAGAAAATACATTTTTGTATTGCTCTAAAACTGAAAATGGCATTTTTAAGGCTCTGAAATTCAAAATTTCTCAGGGGAGAATGCCTCAGACACCCCAACACCGGTGCCTCCGACGTTTTATGACTGATGTTTGAAAAATCCTAGATCCGCCCCTGGAGATATCAAAGGCACACCGCTTTAGTAGGAATTAATTTATTAGGTCACAGTAAATGTTTTGCAAAATATAAACAAATTCGTCATCCTTAGAAACGGAGTTGAACCAGGGACCCGCGAAAAAAACTTACGATATTTACAGTCCCATACTCTACCAACTGAACAATCGAAAGAGTAGCGTATCGCGTGGAAAGTTACTACAATCAACTTGAAATACAAAAATGTAAAAACCGTTAAACTTAAAGTCAGTGTTGAACCAATGACCAAGGGATCTATTTCAACATATACAGTCTAAC